TTATAGTGATTGCATACCTTCTGAATATTTTCGAACGATGAGATTTGCTATTATTTTCCAGTTTTTATCTTTTTGAGGTTAGGTCGCATTTTTAACCCTTTGCACTCGAAGATAATTTTACTGTTTGCAAACAGCAACTTTAAAATATTAATTAAAATGTTAAATGACTTCTTTTGAAGTTATTATTTCTCTACTAATAATTTCCACTATTGTCTATTTCACTATATTTATACATCACATAAGCACTATTATAGAATTAATTAAATAATGCTTCTTTTAAATTATTGTATTAAATCGAATGGCGCCTAAGAGGCACCTCTCAAGCGCAAAGGGTTAACCCATCGCGAAAGGATGAAGTTACTCAGTCATACAGTTTAATAAATAGTTAAATAGTTAGTAATAATAAATAAATAGTAATAATAATAAATAGTTAGTTAGTAATGACTAGTAGGTAATAAAATAGTTAGTTTAGTTACAACTTAATTTTATGCAAATTTGCCTTCAAAACTCGTATGCCTCGAAGAGTTGCAATACAGGGCGCCATTTTGTTTTACCGTTGATGAAGCGCAAGGAGAGGTATACATTGTTAAAGCTTCAATTAGAGTTATACGTGGAAGATTAGTGAATTCTATGGAAGTAACATTAGTTAATATTTTACAGGAAATTATACGAATAAAGTTTTTGTATTTTTGTGAAAAGCTTATTATGTAGAAAATCCCTCTGAAAAAGTTATTATGCGAAAGGTTTATTAATCTTCTTTAATAATAATTGAGTAGAGTTGCTGTGTTAGCAAACAGAACTGTTTTTGTGTTCTTTTGAAGAGATATCATTGTAGAACAGTGACAACAATAGCAATATTATCATTTTGTAAATAATAATAAGTTCAATTGGTTGAAAGTGAGATATCAACATTAAACATTTTTAAAATTCAGATTTAGTGTGACAAATTAATTGGTATGAAGAAAAGAACATTTATGAGTGTTGTTTTTCAGAAGACTAATCTTTGAATATAAATGTAGTTGTTTTTGTGTTCTTGCTGTAAATATTGTTACTTTGTTAGAATAGTGTAACTAAGAAACCATGTTTTATAAATAATACTAATATGATATTTATGAAGGCACATGTATTAACTTGATGTTTATTATACTTTTTATTTATTAATTTGTTACTTATGCTACTTAGTTATTTTATCATTTTGCAATTTATTTTTCTATTTTCTATTTTTATTATTTTGTTATTTAGTTATTTTACAGTACATGTCTCTCTTAAAATAACATTCAAAAATCAACTAATTGGTTTGCAACAAACTACTACAACTGTAACAAGTACCAACCAGCCATTTTGTATCAAGAATCTTGATGAAACATTCAACTACTCATTCTTATAAAACTTGAACCTGTTTAATACAAAATAAGTATTGTTTTTTGATACCTTTCTCTTTTTAAAATAAATACAATTAGGAAACAAAACATGGACGTACAAAGAAGGAAAGAAACGTTCAATAACTTATACGAGTACCAAAGTACAGACGAGACATTTTTAGCGACGGTTCGTTGTTTCTTCCTAAGAGAAGCGATCATTCACGAGTAGTCAAGCGAAAAATGAGTTGAATTGCTAAACTTTAGTAACTCGTGAAATTGCTACCAGATGTCCGAAACACGGTTAAACTTATACTGGGGTCACCTGAGCCCTTCAAGACGCTGGACTTACGAAAAAACATACCAAAATAAAAGAAAAGGAAACTTGATGTATTTCTTTTTACTCGTTGTGAAATCACCCTTAAAAGTTGTAAATGTTTAATAGTCTCTTATCATCTGTTTATCGTAATTAGTTGAAGAAAGAGTTTGAAATTGTATGCAATTATTTTGTGCAATTGTTTTGTGGAAACTTATTTGTGAAATTTATTTAGTTAGATATAGTTTATTTAGTCTGACATAATTTGACTTAACTAAATTTCAAAATCTTTAAATTTCAAGCGCAATTTTTGTTGCTGACTATGAATTACGGATTTTTAATAAATTATACATAAACTGAGTTGATGAAAATTCTAATATAACCTCAATTATTAAGGATTTGTAAGAGTGATAAATTTTCAAGAGATTCTTAACTAGGATTCTTAGATAATTTAATCTAACTAAACCTCAGATGTAACTTCTATTAGCAATTATTGAGTATTTATAGAAATGATAGATCTTCAATTTATTATGCACAACCTAACCAAACCTTAATTACAATTTCAATTATTTAGTGTTTATAAAGATATTACCAAAAACTATCAAATTCTAACGAATTACATGTACCCTAAACTGATCAAAACTGAAGTACACCGTCAGTTATTGAATATTTACAAAGAAATTAAAAAAAAAAATATGAAATTCTAACAAATCACACATAACCTAATCTGATCAAAACTGAAATGCTCAGTTCTTGAGTATTTATAAAAGAATTAACAAAAACTATGAAATTTGAATAAATTACATAACCTAACCTAATCATCGTTCAAACTAAACGCACAACTACCATCAATAACACTAAAAAAAATTAAGAACAAATTTTGTACGATTAAAAACTATAAACTGACATATTTGATAAAATGGAAAGGATGTAAATGACTAAACATTTTCTAGCATTTTTCTATTTGAAAATTATTACCCAATATAAATGTTGTCAACTTTTCAAGTAATTGTATTAAAAAATGAATCATGAGAGGATATTTCATTAAACGCGAAACTGTATTACTATAGTAATTAAGTGAAATTGGTCATTTTTGGTCCTTAATCCTCCAAAACGAAACAGGTTGTTGTTTTCATGGTCTTTTGCGAGTTAAATCCAAAGCGATGCACGGCTAATCTCCGGACAAAGAGTTTATGGTGTTTGCTAGCTTGTGTACCGAACCATCCCTCTCTGTTCGACGTAAGCCCTCGTGTCCCATGGGACCGGTTCAACCCCCAGTACTCGTGAATCGCCTATCAATTTACTTAGGGGTAGCTGTGAAGTGTCCACCAATGATTTTGCATAACATTTCCATTATTACAATTATGCGTTGGTAAAATTGTCTGAAATTATATTTTGTTCATTTTTAGGTTATAAACTATAATTTATGACGCAAAGGATATGATGTTTCTAAAAGCTCAGTTTAACAATATAAATTTAAACAAAGTTTTGGTACAGCAATTAAGAGATTGAACTTTTTGGGAGATCAAATTTTTTATTTTAGAAACTTGCGACATATTCATTTTGTGGATGGGTCAAAATGACATTGGTATATTATGCATTCTTGCAAATATTTTGTTGAAGTATATTTGTTATAATTTTTGTGTCCCTTGAATAAATAACTGTGGAATTAATTACTGCAGAATTCTCCTGCGTTGAATTCACCTCGTATCAAATATGATAAATTAAGGAAAATAATAGAAAAATATTAAGTTGAGAAGTGGGGCTATTGTTAAGTTAAATTTGCAAATTACCTATTTCTCTTAGTAATTACTTTCATTGAGTTTTGTGACATACCTATAATTTCATCGCGACGTTAATGTGTACTTGTTAAGAAATTGTCAATTGTTTTTTACTGTTACTTGAAATAATTATTGCAGATGGTTGAAAATGAAAATTAGGTTAGTTCAAAAACAAGAGTTATTCTTACTCTTAAGTAAGAAAATTCTATTAACTTGTATTCTTTAAAATGGTAAATAATGTATTAAAGAAAAACGTGTTATTACCATCAATAACTGAAGAAAATCACGGAACGCACCAGGTGCGTCAATGACAGTATGTGTTATTCCCAAATAAATTATAAAATATATCATCTCTTCGGTACTATAGAGATTATTATATCAATGTATACCCTATCTAAACCTCATTTTGCAATTTTGTTGCAAGGACTGTCAGTCACTATAAATAAGACGCACCAGGTGCGTCTATAATAACTAGAACGCATATAGTGCGTCAATGATAATAGCTTACACAATGTACCTAATTTTGCAAATAATAAAGTCCTGATCCACATATAATATAAACAAATTTCTACCATTCTGATGTACCGTGTTTCAGTGAGCACAATGGGACGCACCATGTGCGTCAACAATATCAAAGCTATTTATCTAAATGTAATATAAAGTATAATTAATTTTGATACTTAAAATATAATATATACTTCATTTTTTGTACCTAAAATCTAATATATCTGGCATAATTTAAAGTATACGTAATTCTTATTAAAAATTTGAAATTGGTGGATTTGTTTTGTTCATTTGCACAGGATAGAAGCTACTATTTATAATTTTTACACATTCGATATATTGTGTTGCTGTGACTGACGTACCTGATGCGTCACGTTAATGTCACCGACGCATCTGATGTGTCATATCACTGTCATTGACGCACTGGGTGCGTCCTACTATTACCTTCGACGCACTCGGTGCGTCAATGACAGTGATATGACGCACAAGATGCGTCGGCGGCAGTAACACAATATATCGAATATGGGGTGCGTCGAGGGTAATGGTAGGACGCACCGTGTGCGTCAATATATAAGTCACAATTTTATAATTTTGACATATTCGATATATTGTATTACTGTGACTGACATACCTGGTGCGTCACGTTATGACTGACGTACCTGATGCGTCACGTTAATGTCACCGACGCATCTGATGTGTCATATCACTGTCATTGACGCACTGGGTGCGTCCTACTATTACCTTCGACGCACTCGGTGCGTCAATGACAGTGATATGACGCACAAGATGCGTCGGCGGCAGTAACACAATATATCGAATATGTCAAAATTATAAATTATAAATTGCGACTTATAAACTGACGCACCCGGTGCGTCCTACCATTACCCACGACGCACCCGTTGCGTCAGTAACATCAAAACCACAATATTTAAACAAAATCCCCAAAATATCGAATAACTGCGACTGCAGGATTAATTCCATCGACACACACTCTATCCAACATTTCCCAGTCACCCAAATCGAAAAGCTCAAAATAAATACCTGAATAATCAATGGTCCAAGGTTGAAACAGCTACCAAAAGGAATCACTTAAATCAATCACGTAATCCTATCACGTAAATCAAGATGTCCACGAACAACCAAGCAGAATCTGTTGAAACTATAGAAAAAAAAGGTGGAATTTTACACGAGACGAGTAACCACGGTGGGCCAAGGAGCACGTTAAGGGTGTCTACGAACGACTGTCAGTATTCGGCCAATGTTTCGTTTCACTTTGTACCGCGCTATCTCCGTTCTACGATATCTGTCCTGCTCCACGTCGAGTAATATGATAATACCAGATAGGGTGGAAGAGAAAGAGAGAAACTGGCAGGGAAGGGAAGAACCGCCCCCTCGAGTATACCACCCTCGTAACAACCAACCCCATGGCGACGATAACGGGGATGAAGGCGGAGCCTGGGCTTCTTGGCTCTTGGGGGTGGCTGGTTCGCCTCAGGGGTAACTACAAACACGTACTTAACGAACATTATGATCATACTTGAACTCAAACCACGCACACAGGCTCCAGTTTCTAGACACGTTCGTGAGACGCGATAAATACACGGACACTGTGCTTCTCGAGTGGACTTCAATCTTATCTAATAGTGTGCCATTATTTAACTAGATATGGAAATAAATTCATTTTTGTTTGGGGTGTTTTTAAATCATTTTTAATAGCTGCACTGTAATTGTATTTTTTATTGCTGTGTGTATAATTGTTGGGGTAGTTTCTTTACTCGTTGGGTACTTTTCTATTTTATCTGTCAATTTTAATTCGATTTTTATTCGGGGCGTTTTGAGATAATTTTTTATTGTTATATTGTAACTGTATTTTTAATTGCTGTGCATCTTTTTACAGGGGTGGTTTCTTTACTCGTTGGATACTCTTCCATTTTATATGTCAATTTTGATGCAATTTTTATTCGGGGCGTTTTGAGATAATTTTTTATTGTTATATTGTAACTGTATTTTTTATTGCTGTGTGGATAATTTAAGGGGTAGTTTCTGTACTCGTTGGGTACATTTTATTTATCTTTCAATTCAATTTTTATCTCAGGCATTTTGAAATAATTTTGATATACTATACTGTAACTGTATTTTTAATTGCTGTGCATTTTATTACAGGGGTGGTTTCTGTACTCGTTGGGTACATTTCCATTTTATCTATTAATTTCAATTCAATTTTTATTGGGGGCGTTTTAACATAATTTTTTATTCTAACTATATTTTTTATTGCTGTGGGTATAATTGCAGGGGTGGTTTCTTTACTCGTTTGGTACATTTCAATTTTATCTAATTTTATGTAGTTGAATATTCAAGCATATTCTTTCTGGTTTATGATTTATTTTAACCCTTTCAAAGGAATTTTTGCTGTCGGTAGATGGTAATTTTAAAACATTGTGATTGGAAAGTTTGATGGTTTCTTTTGAAGTTATTATTTCTCTGTAATTGCATATCAAGAGAGGGTGAAGATCTAACCTAATCTAATAAACATGGGAGTACCTATTTTAATTTTACAACAACTTTGCAATGACCTAATTTAATAATTGTCCAAGTACTTTGCTAATTTTGTAATAACTCTTGAGTAACCTAACCTAAAAATTATCCAAGTACTTTGCTAATTTTGCAATAACTCTTCAGTAACCTAACTTAATAATTATCCAAGTTCTATGCTAATTTTGTAATAACTCTTCAATAACTTGATCTAATAATTATCCAAGTACTTTGCTAATTTTATAAAAACTCTTGAATAACCTAACCTAAATATTATTCAAGTTCTATGCTAATTTTGCAATAACTCTTCAGTAACCTAACTTAATAATTATCCAAGTTCTATGCTAATTTTGTAATAATTCTTCAATAACTTGACCTAATAATTATCCAAGTACTTTGCTAATTTTGTAATAACTCTTGAGTAACCTAACCTAAAAATTATCCAAGTACTTTGCTAATTTGCAATAACTCTTCAATAACCTAACCTAATAATCGTCCAAATACTTTGTTAATTTTGTAACAACTCTCGAATAACCCAACCTATTATTTTGTGAAGCCTTTGTTGAGTTCTCTTAAGTAAGTATTCTATTAATTTTCTAATAACCTTGCAATAATCTAATCCATTAAACATTTAAGTATTGTATTAATTGACCAAATATTATTACAAAATAGTATAAACAAACATTATCACAATAAAATATCGAAATATTACAATAAAATATCCTCCAGTGCTTCACACAGAATAACAGCAGCACTGTTCAAATACAAACTACCGTTACTCCATATGCAGAACATGAGGCTTTCACGCCTGACCAAGCAATACAGAATATCATTTTTTAAGCATCCAGAGCAACAAATGTGTTCACAGCAACGTCACCGAGGATCGGTGACATTAATAAAATAATGCAGTCACGGATTTCGGGACCACTCGACTGCACAAGGGGGCGATGTAGGGGGGTGGTAGGGGGTTGAAACGGAGACGCGACCTTATGTTCGTACATCGTCACTCTTGTCTCTCTCTGCTTTTTTGCCGTCAAACGACAAGCGAAGAGAGAATGAAGGTGGTGGCATAATTGGCAGGGGTCCGCAACAATATTTATTACACGCAGGGGTAGCAAAAATCATAATGGCCAACTGGGGTATAAACTGCACCAGCCTCTTTGCGGTTCGTTAAACGATGTTCTGTTTGCGGATGGGGCCTGTTGCTAAACATTTTCTTGAATTTTTTCATTTTTTAACAATTTTTATTTTTTTTTATTTTTGAACAATTCTTTTTTCATTTATTTATTTATAGTCGCATCAACCACTCATGGATTATTAGCGATTTTTGTTATTTTGGAACAATTTTTATTTCTTTTATTTTTGAAGCATTTTTATTTTTTTTTTTTTTTTATTCTTTTATGGTGTGGTTATTAACTGTGTTGTGTTGTTTCATTATTTATGTTATTTATTATTATTTTGTTTGGATGATTGTTTGTTGATTACATTAGTATGTTATTGTTTATAATTCAATGTTTTATTATACAATTCTTTATTATCTATGTTTTCTAATTTTATTATTAGGCTGTTCTTATTATTTTTGGTTGTTAATTAGTATAATGTTGTATATTATTTAGTGTTTCATCATGCTATTATTTATTATTGGATGATTTTGTGTTATAATTCAACAGTTGATGTTTTATTTTATTATTTATTATTTAATGTTTTGTATTATAATTCATCAGTGAATGTTTTATGTTATTAGTTATTATTGAATATTTTATTTTATTGTTTGTTATCGAATGTTTCATATTATTATTTATTATTAAATATTTTATTTTATTGTTTGTTATCGAATGTTTCATATTATTATTTATTATTGAATGATTTATATAATTATTTATTATCTGATGTGTTATTTATAGTCATTAATTATTCATCTTATTTAATTGTGGTTCTATATTATTGTTTATTATTTATTATTTTATTATGATACCTTCTCATTGCATTTACATAATGTTCATTTGTTAGTTATGTTAATGTATCATTTTTATTATAATATTTATCATATAATGTATTATCATATTATTATTTATTATTTAATATATCATATGGCATTATTTATATTGATATTATTTAATCCTCTTACTGTCTCAATTTTGTGATATATTTATTAATTATGTTATAATCTTGTTCAATTATAAATATGTTACTATTTATTATTTTATTTCCACAATTTCATTTATTTATTTATTTATTGATTTGTTAACTACATTAATAAAAATTAATATCCTAAATTCTTTTACATTATACTATTAATATCTATCATATTTCATGTAATATTTGCAAATTCATATAATATATGCTTTTCACATATTCAATTAAAATTTTTAATAAAACATCAGCAAAAATAATAAACAGTATAATTATAATTATTAGAATTAACTTGATAAATGTTTGACAATTTTATTAAAGCAAACATAGGTCACTTTAAGTCCCCTAATTAGGCAAATATTGCTGGTAGATGATCAGCGATAAAGTTGAATTAACCTTATCCTCGGCTTTGCCGATGGCACAGTGGTAAACGAATAGTGGTTAGTCCCAGGCTACCGCAAACTAGGTACCGGACAAAAGAAGATGGAACGGTTAAGTGTGCTTTTCAATGGACCATCAATAGTGAAAGGATCGCTTTACTGAGGACGCGTGTCGGGTATTAAAGTTAGGAGGTTCATGAACCAGCTAAATGTATGGCTGATTTGTACAAAATGCAAGGTTTAGGGGTTTACGATATCCATCGAATATGTAAGGGTGGTGAATGACACGCTACTCATGTGAATATGTCAAGATTGAAATCCTTAATCGGTAGAATGTAAATAGATGTTTACTGTTAATTTTAGGTTAGAGGATACTGTGTTAGTCGTCGATATATAACATATATAATAAATATAATTTTGTATAATTTAACATAATTTAACATTTTGTATAATTTAACATAACAAGAGTAAACATGTTGTGTATTGTGCATTTAACTTAACCATTTCCAATTATTTATTTTGAAAAATATCTAAAAAATAAAGTTGTTATGTTTGAAAGTTTATGTTAGATTATAGAGATGAGAGTTTCATAACCTAACCTACATTTTGTAACCTAACCTTTGAGACTTTTCTAACCTAACATGATTTCATATGGTACAATTTAGAAGATGTTTTACCTGACTAATATTTAATTTATAAAATAGCATAGTAGAGAATCTAACGTCAAGAAGATATTACTTTGATAAATGGTTATTGTGTACAATTAAAATTATTTAACCTAACCTATCTTTGTATAATATATCCATAGAGTGTGTAAAATATGTTCACCTAACTATTGCATACTTTTTAAAATAATATTAGTATAGCTTAACTTGATATAATAATATAATGAACTTATATTGATTATGCAAAAATTGATATTGAGTGCAATTAACCTAACCTAACCTAATCTCGTATAATATCACATATCTAATATTTTAAAATTTATAAAACAGCACAGTATAAACAGATTTTCTACAAATAACAACAACATGAAAATAATATTATAGAAAAC